ACAAAATGATAAATAGAAAACCCCAAAACCCCAAAACCCCTTGATAATAGATTATCGTATATATTATCAATCTGTAAATAAATGAGAAATATTATTATTATTTTTATTACAAATGATTTTGGAACTCTTAAAGAATTAGAACTCGAACAATAATCAGCCTGTAAAATTAGTACTCTTACTAGATCTTATGTATAATGATAATTTAGAGTCCTACTCCAAAGGGATTTTAGGAGGATGAAGAATTTAATAAAATGGATAAGAAGCTTTATTCTAGTGCTTTAAGTAGCTACCATGAGGATTCTCATCCAAAGGATCTGCAAGATAAAAGCATTAAAAATTCACCTGGAACGAAAAGCAGCAGCAAGAAATTAGGTTAGTTTTGCACTGAATAACATTATAGAGTTAAGCTAAGAAAAAAACAGAAGAAAATCTTACTATCCTAGAGGTAATAATTAGAAATCTTAAAAATTTATTTTTCAGCTATGGAGCTATCAAGAGTTTAATCATTAGAAAAAGTAGCAAGCAAAACAACAAAAACATACTAAAATGCCGAAATCGTTAAATAAAACAAAGCATTCCTCTTCAGTATAAACACTAACTTAAATAAATTAAATAGGCGATGCAACTTCATCTGAAGAGGAAGAATTTAACGAAGATGACTAAAATATTCCGTTAATAGCTAAATTGGCTACAGCTTAATTTCATAAATTATCAAAGATTAGAGAAAAAATTAAAAAGCAAGGCGATATTGAATCTTAGGATCTGATTCTCAAACAGAGGGCTGAAAAAAAGAAGTATTAATATGTACTTTCATATCGAGAAAATATAAAACTCCTATGGGACGCTTTCATTATTTGTCTTGCTTTGATTGTGCCAATAATGAACAGTATATGCGTATCATTAGACCCGCCTTTTAGAAGAACTGCTGGTTTTCCAGCTATAAACCTCATTGTTGATTTTATTTTCCTCCTTGATATGATCTTAATCTTTCGAACATCTAGGCTTAATTTTTTACTGGGAGAAGAAACTAATGATCCTTATTAGCTAGCGCTTATCTATATAAAATCATATAGATTTTGGGTAGATATACTCAGTATAATACCATTTGAAATGTTTGATGATAAAGACTTGCTAATTTTGTTCAGTATGCTAAAAATTTTTAGAATTGGCAGGTTCAATAAAATCCTTCAGAATACCAATCTTATCTCCTAGAGTAAAATAGTAAGATAATCTAAATTTAATGCTATTAGTTTTTAAAACTCATTTACATGTATGTTCTGCTAATATTGTATCTGCATTTTTTGGCATGTCTCATCTATTATATTTTTAACCTAAACAAATCGTGGACACCTCCTTGTGAGACCTTAGGTGTAGGTTCTAAATTCTATGAAATCGATGATGATCTCTTTAAATACGCTACTCTGATCCATTACTCGGTGCTAATGTATTTAATCAATGAGACGTCTCCCACAGTATTATATGAAAGACAATTTGTGCAAGTTGTAGCTATTATATCAGCGATAGTTAATGCAATTATATTCGGCAATATTACTGTGCTTGTGTCTGAGTTAAAAAAGAAGGAAAATGAAATTCAAGAAAACTAGGATGCTGCTTCCACTGCAATGACTAATCTAGAGTTACCAATAGATCTGAGAATAAGCATTTAAACACAAATGTAAGTACTCTAGAGTACTAGGGATGAACCAGAAGAATTGCAAGTATTTTTAAATAGTATTTCAGCAAGTAAGAGGCTAAAAGTTTAAGTTTGTGTTATGAACAGAGAACTTAGAAATAACAAACTCATTATTGGTATGGCTAAGAAGAAGTTTGATGCTTTCATTGAGTTTATGGTCTCTCGTATGGATCTGATTCTTTCTAATCCAGAGGATATTATTATCAAAGAAGGAGAATCTCTAGAGGGTATCAATAATTTTGAATTATTCTTATAGAAAACGATTGCATGTATTTCATCGCGAAAGGTACCTGCTATGCAGAATAAAAAGATAGAATTTTCCAATAAAACACTCAAAATTATCTTAGAAATCTTGGGCCTGGAGACTACTTTGGAGTAAGAAATAGTTTTTCTAAACATTCTAGGAAATATCGTTGATATATAGTTGTAAAAGATAAGCCTCAGTTATTGCATAGAATTACTCTACTTTAGCAAGACTCAGTTACGACAAATTTAAAGAGGTTGTCTAAAAGTACCCTAAGCTTCAAACTTAAATGAAGGGTTTTATCAAAGGATATGACGATCCTATTACAAAATTCATGACAGAAACTCTAGAGAAAATACCTTACTATGATTATTTTGACGATGATGATAGGATCTCAATAATCTATAACTTTACAATGAAAAATTACCAAAAGGGATCTTTAATTCAAGCCCAAGGAGAAATCCCTGAAAATCTTACAATAATATCTCGTGGAGTCGCTTAAGTTTTTACAACAATAAAGAGTGAAGAGTTTCCTTTAGAATATCTATGCCATGGCTCAATTATTAATTAGAATATGTTTTTGCTTTAGCAACCCGTTCAAATGCCAATTAAATGTATTACTTCTGTGATGGTGCTAAATTTTTCTTTTGAAAAACTAAAGATAATTAGAGATAAAAACTCAGAGAGTAATCTCAATAAGGAGCTTGACATACTTACTAAGTTTTATTAAAAGGAAGGTATTGAAAAGATCTACCTTGATTATATAAGCCCAACTCCATTCAATTTATAGGTTGATGACATAAAATATGCTAGAAGATAGGAGTTAACAAGGTAGTTGAAAAATGCAGCGATCTAGGTACTTATGAATTACAGAAAGAAAAATCATAAAGTGAATTTTAACGATATGCTTAAGGATATAATTAAGAAGATTAAAGAATAAAAGAGAACAGAAAAGTAAAAGGCATCTCTCTTAGCTAAAAGGATTAGCGCAGGAGAAGGTACTGAATTACCAGCTATAACTGGTGATTAAGCATGTGAGATTCATACGTTTTTAAATCAAATGGAAAAAGCTGTTGAATTTTAGAGTGAGATGATAGAATCATTAGATACTCGTTTCCAATTTTCTATCACTGAAGGAGCAGCTAATGCTAGACTTATTAAACAAAAGGAAATGGAATAAAAAGCTATATAGAGAAAAAAGCGAAGCATGATCATAATGAATGATGAATAGTTGGTTTTAAAGCT